AGCTCAGCAGGATTGAGCAAACACAGAGACTAATTGTTCCTCAGATAGGGCCAAGGCCAAGACTTGAGTTCCAAGAAAAACCTCAATTGCCCGCGCTCTGAGCCCTAGCCTCATTTAAATTGCCCAATCAGGGTCCTGTTACTAGGCTTCTCGCTTCTGTACCGTGCTTTTTGCTATAAAAGAACCCCTGAGTCCTCAGCTCGGGGCGCTCAGTTCCCCAAGACTGAGACGCCCGGGTACCCGTGTGTTATCAATAAAGCCTCTTGCTGTTGCATCCAAGCTCGTGGTCTTGCTGTTCCTTGGGTTCGGGTCTCCCTTCCGTGAAAGTATCCCTTTTGGGGTCTTTCATTTGGTGCATTGGCCGGGAACTTTGACTTTGAGACCCCCGCCCAGGGACCACCGACCCACTTCTGGGAGGTAAGAATTGTCCGGACTCAATTTCTGTTGTCTGCTGTCTGTCTTTGCCTGTTAATTTCTCGCGCCTGCGTCTGTAGTATACAGCTGTATGCATCTGTATCTGGCGGCACCGAGGAGGAACTGACGAGTTCGTACTCCCGACCGCAGCTCCAGGAGACGTCCTGGTAGCGTCTGGAGTCCTTAAGGACTCATCTGGGTTAGGGGTAGATGTCTAGGAATCTGCCCCGTCTGTTTGGGGAAGTCCCGCTGACTGAGGGATTTTCCATCGTTGTAGGGGACGAGGACGGGAGCACGAGGCGCCCGTCCCCGAGCCCATCTGAATTTTTGCTTTTGACTTTACGTCAAAGCCGCGCAGCGAAAATCTGTTTGTTTTTATTTCTTATCTGTTCGTCCGTCTTAGTGTCGTTAGTCATCGCTTTTGAGGAAATGGGCCAGACAGTTACCACTCCGCTCATTCTGACCCTTTCACATTGGCAACAGGTTCAGGAGTACGCTCATAACCAGTCTGTCGATGTGCACAAGAAGCAATGGATCACCTTTTGCTCTTCTGAATGGCCAACTTTTAATGTTGGCTGGCCACGAGACGGCACCTTTAACCCTCAAATTATCTTCCAGGTGAAAGAGAAAGTCATGGATCCTGGGCCCCACGGCCATCCGGACCAAGTACCCTACATAGTCACCTGGGAAGCGTTAGTTTATAACCCTCCTACCTGGGTGCGCCCCTTTGTGCACCCAGGAGGTCCCTCCTCCTCCTCTTCCCTAACCCCCGCCAATTCCAACCCATCCGCGCCCCCCCCTTCTGCCCCCTTTGACCCCCTCCCCGCATCCTCAGTCCTCCCATTCTGGCCTTTACCCCACCGTTACTAAGCAGAAAGAGAAAAGAGGAGACCCCAAGGTCCTCCCCCCGAAAGACGGTCTCCTGTTGGATCTTCTGACGGAGGAACCCCCACCGTACCAGGCTCCTCCGGCAGGTCAACCGGCAGCGGCAGCAGCCGAGGCCCAACCTTTGCCTCCTACCGACCCGGAGCCCTCACCTATGGCCTCTAGACTGCGAGGCCGCAGGGAGCAGCCGGCTCCGGATTCCACCGCCCTGCCCCTCCGGACGGGCCACAATGGCCAATTACAATACTGGCCGTTTTCTGCCTCTGATCTTTATAACTGGAAAAATAATAACCCCTCCTTTTCAGCAGACCCCATGAGACTGACTGATCTATTAGAGTCGGTTCTCACTACCCATCAGCCCACCTGGGACGATTGCCAACAGCTTTTGCAGGTCCTCCTAACTTCGGAGGAAAAACAGCGGGTCCTTCTTGAAGCCCGGAAGAATGTTCCTGTGGCAAATGGACAACCTATGCAGCTTCCAAATGAAATTGATGCTGCTTTCCCCCCTTGACCGCCTAGACTGGGACTTCACCACTGAGGCAGGTAGGACCCATCTACGTCTTTATCGCCAGTTGCTTGTAGCGGGTCTCCAAGGGGCGGGTAGGCGCCCTACAAATTTGGCCCAGGTAAGACAGATAGTTCAGAAGGCAGAGGAATCGCCAGCTGCATTTTTAGAAAGACTTAAGGAAGCTTACAGAATGTATACCCCATATGACCCTGAGGACCCCGGGCAAGCTACCGGCCTGACCATGTCCTTCATCTGGCAGTCGGCCGCCGACATCAGAAACAAATTACAGCGGCTAGAAAATTTACAGGGTTGTACTCTACCAGATGTATTAAGAGAGGCGGAGCGCATCTTTAACAAGAGAGAAACCCAGGAAGAGAGGGAAGAGAGATGGAGAAAAGAGGATCAAGAAAGGGTACAACGTCAGAGACAGGAAACTGAAGAGAGGGAAGAGAGATGGAGAAAAGAGGATCGAGAAAGGGCAGAATGTCAGAGACAGGAAACTGAAGAGAGGGAGATAGCGAGGGACAAGAAGCATAATAGAGAAATGACTAAACTGTTGGCCACAGTAGTCGCAGAGCAGAGACAGGATAGGCAGAGAGAGGGACAAAGGGGGCCTCGCCTAGAAAGAGACCAATGTGCATACTGCAAGGAGAAAGGACATTGGGCGAGGGAGTGCCCCAAGAAACAAAGAAGGACATTTCAAAGACCCAAACCCCGTTCTCAGACCTCCGACCTCCTGAGCCTCAAAGATTAGGGAGGTCAGGGCCAGGAGCCCCCCCCAGCCCCGGATAACCATACCAGTAGGGGGGCGTCCGGTCACCTTCCTGGTCGACACGGGGGCCCAACACTCTGTTCTAAATCGGTCACCCGGCCCCCTGAGCTGCCGAACTGCCTGGGTACAAGGGGCTACCGGCGGGAAACAATATCGATGGACCACGGACCGCCAGCTCCACCTAGCGACCAGTAAGGTGATGCACTCCTTTTTACATGTTCCTGACTGTCCATACCCCCTCCTGGGTCGAGACCTCCTAACGAAGTTAAAGGCTCAAGTACATTTCGAGAAAGCCAACATAAGAGTCACGGGGCCGAAAGGGGCCCCACTCACGGTGCTGACCATAGCCTTAGAGGAAGAATATAGAATACATGAGCCCAAGGATGACTCTTTTAAGGTCAAAGACCGCTGGCTGACCGACTTTCCCCAGTCCTGGGCAGAGACTGGAGGAATGGGACTAGCCCTCCAACAGGCTCCCATCTTAGTCCATTTAAAGGCATCTGCTCTCCCGGCCTCAATTAAGCAATATCCCATGTCCCGGGAGGCCCGCGATGGGATCAAACCTCACATTAGGAGGCTACTGGAGCAGGGCATTCTAGCCCCCTGCCGGTCCCCCTGGAACACTCCCCTGTTGCCAGTCAAGAAGCCCGGAACCAGTGACTATAGGCCTGTCCAGGACCTCCGGAAAGTCAATAAGCAGGTTGAGGACATACACCCCACGGTCCCCAATCCCTATAACCTCCTGAGTGGACTGCCACCTGACTATGTTTGGTACTCAGTCCTGGATTTAAAGGATGCCTTCTTCTGCCTACGATTACACAAAGACAGTCAGCCACTGTTTGCCTTTGAATGGCAGGATGCAGACCTGGGAATCTCGGGACAACTTACATGGACTAGGTTGCTCCAAGGGTTCAAAAATAGCCCCACCCTCTTTGATGAGGCCTTACATCAGGACTTGGCCGGATTTAGAGTCCACCACCCTGAGGTCATCCTCTTACAATATGTGGATGACATCCTGATAGCCACCAAAACAGAGGAGGAATGCCTTAGGGGGACTGAAGCTCTCTTAAAGACTTTAGGAGACTTGGGGTATAGGGCCTCTGCCAAGAAGGCCCAAATCTGCCGGACCCAGGTCACCTACTTGGGGTACAGAATCCAGGATGGAAAATGTTGGCTAACAGAAGCCCGCAAACAGGCCATCCTTGACATCCCTCCTCCCAAGACCCCCCGAAAACTGCGGGAATTCTTGGGAACAGCAGGGTTCACGGAAATGGCAGCACCCCTATACCCCCTCACCAAGATGGGGGCTGCCTTTGACTGGGGGGAGAGCCAGGAGAAAGCCTTCATGGACATCAAAAAGGCTCTGCTCAGCTCCCCAGCTCTGGGGTTACCTGATCTGACTAAACCCTTTGACCTATTCGTGGCTGAGCAAGAGGGTTATGAGAAAGGGGTCCTAACCCAAAAACTTGGACCCTGGAGACGACCGGTCGCCTACCTATCTAAGAAATTAGACCCCGTAGCGTCAGGATGGCCCCCATGTCTCCGCATGATCGCCGCCACCACAGTTCTCATAAAGGATTGTCACAAATTGACTTTGGGGCAGCCTTTGACTATCTATGTCCCCCATGCTATGGAGGCGGTCATCAGGCAGCCACCGGGCCGCTGGCTCACCAATGCCAGGATGACCCATTACCAGACTCTGTTGCTGGACAAGGACGGAATTCACTTCGGGGCTCCGGTGACCCTAAACCCCGCCTCGCTACTTCCCCTTCCTGGGGAAGCAGAGACTCATGACCTCACGGATCAACCCCTTCAACCCCGACCATGTCTGGTTCACGGACGGAAGCAGCTTTGTACATCAAGGGGAGCAGAAAGCCGGCGCTGCGGTGACGACTGAGTCGGAAATAATTTGGGCCGAGGCCCTTACGCCGGGAACATCGGCCCAACGAGCAGAGCTGATTGCCTTAACACAGGCCCTGAGACTGGCAGAAGGTAAGAAACTCACTGTCTACACAGACAGCCGCTACGCCTTCGCCACAGCTCACATCCATGGTGAAATTTATAGGCGAAGGGGGCTATTGACCTCAGAGGGCAGAGACATTAAAAACAAAAAGGAAATCCTGGCCCTCTTGGGAGCTCTGCACCTGCCAACCGCCCTCAGTATCATACATTGCCCAGGGCACCAGAAAGGCGACAGCCCAGTCGCCCGGGGAAATCGGAGGGCAGACCTGGCCGCCCGGGAGGCTGCCCTGGCCATGGAAAACAGCAGTCACCTCCTTCAGGCAGCTGTAGTCCCTGTAACAAATGAGGCTTCCGAGAAGACCTCTCCGTCATGGGACTATGAGATAGGAGACATCAAGGCCATGAAAAGACTGGGGGTGACCCGAGTACATGATGGTCTCTGGACCTATCAAGGAAAAACTGTCCTTCCCCGCCTAATGACTAGATATCTGATTAACAGCCTACACAAACTCACTCATTTGAGCTCCAGGAAAATGCGAGAACTATTAGCCCGGGAAGAAAATACCCGCCACCTGTTGGGAATGGAAGAATTACTAAAACAAGTAACTGAGCGATGTGATGCCTGCGCCCGCGTAAATGCGACCAGGCTAAAGCTACCCATGGGGACTCGAGCTCGGGGGCACTGGCCTGGGGTGCATTGGGAAATAGATTTCACAGAAATCAAACCAGGAAAATATGGATACAAGTACCTCCTGGTTTTTGTTGACACCTTTTTGGGATGGACTGAAGCTTACCCTACTAAGCATGAGACGGCAAAGGTGGTCACCAAGAAACTTCTTGAAGAAATCTTCCCCCGTTACGGAATGCCACAGGTATTGGGGACAGACAACGGGCCTACCTTAAGTCAGTCTGTGGCCACCTTGTTGGGGATTGATTGGAAATTACATTGTGCTTACCGACCCCAAAGCTCAGGACAGGTAGAGCGAATGAATAGAACCATTAAGGAGACTCTAACTAAATTATCGCTTGCAGCTGGCACTAAAGACTGGGTCCTCTTGCTCCCCCTTGCCCTCTATCGTGCCCGGAATACACCGGGCCCCCATGGCCTCACCCCTTTTGAAATTTTATATGGAACCACCATTCCCTTTGTTCAGTTCTTTGACCAAGATATTTCTGACCATGCCAATTCCCCCTCTCTTCAAGCTCACCTGCAGGCACTCCAGCTGGTCCAGCAGGAAGTCTGGAAGCCCCTGGCCCAAGCCTACCGAGACCAGAGGAGACACCCTATCGTCCCCCACTCCTATCACGTGGGAGACAGTGTTTGGGTCCGACGCCACCAGGCTAAGAACCTTGAACCCCGCTGGAAGAGACCATACACGGTCCTGTTGACCACCCCTACTGCTCTCAAGGTGGACGGGATTGCTGCTTGGATACACGCCTCGCATGTAAAAGCTGCCTCCCCTGAGGATCCGGACCCAGGATGGAAGGCTCAGCACACTCAAAATCCTCTAAAGATAAGACTTACCCGTTCCTCTCCCTCCTGCTAATAGCCCTCCTCATAAAATCAAACACTGGTTTGGCCTCCAATCCCCATACCGTTTATAAATTAACCTGGGAGGTTCTCTCCCAAACGGGGGAGGTCATTTATGCACTTGGGACATGGTGGCCCACTCTGTGGCCTGAATTTTGTGATTTAGTAGCAGGATTGGACACTTGGGACATTCCCCATTGCCACCCGAAGGCATGCGCCAGTGGTTCCCACTTTTACAGACGTCGACGTGCACTCATGGACTCCAGAGAAACCACCCCCGGGTGTGTTGATCAACGAGCCAGAGAGCAGCTAAGTTCAAAGGACTTCTATGTCTGCCCCCGAGATGGGCGTGCCTGGCAACAGGCCCAGAAATGTGGGGGATACGACTACTTTTTCTGTGCATCTTGGGGGTGCGAGACCACAGGGGATGCATATTGGAGGCCATCCTCATCCTGGGATAAAATACAAGTATGCAGAGGCTGGGACAAAGAAAAATCTGGAATGATAGGTATGCCCCTTGCCATCTCCTTCACTGTGCAGGGGAAGCAAGCCTCGGACTGGCAGACTGGGAATACCTGGGGTTTGCGCTGGTATCTAGACGGGCCAGACAGGGGAGTAATCTTCAAAATCAGATGTAAAGTGGCTCCTGTCAATTCACAGGCCATAGGCCCTAACCAGGTCCATGCTGATCAAAAGCGGCCTAGCCTACTCATACCCATGGCTGATACCTGGCCCATGACCCTGCCTAGAACCACAGCCGCTCTCGTGCACAACTTCTCCCCAGGAAGCACTCCCAAACCTTCCTCAGTTCCCCCTATCGGGATGGTTCCCCCTCCTAAAGGCACGGGAAATAGAATATTAGCCCTGATCCAAGGGACATATGCCACTCTGAATTTAACTCGCCCAGATAAGACTAAGGAATGCTGGCTTTGTCTGACTCCACAACCTCCCTATTGTGAAGGCTTAGCGGTTGTGGGCAAATATATAAATCAGGCCACAGCCGAGGCTCTTTGTGGGACAGCCATGCAACATAAATTGACCATCTCAGAAGTGTCCGGAAAGGGGCTATGTATAGGTAAGGTCCCTGCCACGCATCAAGGACTATGCAATACTACTGAGCCTTTGCCCCAAAGTAGCCGCTACTTGATAGCCCCCAATGGGACATATTGGGCATGCAGCACTGGATTGACCCCTTGTGTCTCCACCACGGTACTTAATACCACCGTTGACTATTGTGTTCTGATCGAATTATGGCCTAAGGTAATTTACCACCCCTCTGACTATGACTTAATAAGAACTGGCCGCAGTAAGAGGGAACCTATCTCCATCACTACTGCCATCCTACTAGGTGGATTAATCATGGGAGGCCTAGCGGCAGGAATAGGAACCGGTACTGTCGCACTGCAGGAAACTAGACAGTTCCAACTCCTACAACAAGTAATGCATGCAGATATTCGGTCTTTAGAAGAATCTGTCGCTGCCCTGGAGAAGTCCCTGTCCTCCCTGGCAGAAGTAGCCCTCCAAAATAGAAGGGGACTAGACCTCTTATTTTTGCAGCAGGGGGGAATTTGTGCGGCCCTTAAAGAAGAATGCTGCTTTTATGCAGACCATACAGGAGTGGTAAGAGACAACCTGGCCAAGATAAAAGAAAGACGCCAAAAGTACCAACAACTAATTGAGTCCCAACAGGGATGGTTTCAGAACTGGTATAACAGGTCCCCTTGGTATTCGACCCTCATATCCACCATTATGGGACCCCTGATCATTATACTTTTGGTTCTGATGTTTGGGCCATGCATCTTAAACAGACTGACCCTGTTCATAAAAGAAAGGTTATTGGTTGTACAATCCCTGGTCTTAACCCAACAGTACCAGCAGCTAAAACAGAGGGATCTCGAGATGGTAGAAACTCCTGAATGAAAGATTCCATTCAGTTACAAGAGCAATGGGGGAATGAAAGACCCTGGCCCAGTTTAAACAGGCAGCTGAGGCTCATGGAAAATTCCGTTCCCCCACAGCTGCATAGTCATTGCCTATCAGAAGGGAGCTCAGCCCAAGGACACAGGCTGCCGGGTGTCTGCGGGCGGCCGGATGGCCAGCTCAGCAAGGTTAAACAAACACAGAGATATCTGCGGGTGACCAGACGGCCAGCTCAGCAGGATTGAGCAAACACAGAGACTAATTGTTCCTCAGATAGGGCCAAGGCCAAGACTTGAGTTCCAAGAAAAACCTCAATTGCCCGCGCTCTGAGCCCTAGCCTCATTTAAATTGCCCAATCAGGGTCCTGTTACTAGGCTTCTCGCTTCTGTACCGCGCTTTTTGCTATAAAAGAACCCCTGAGTCCTCAGCTCGGGGCGCTCAGTTCCCCAAGACTGAGACGCCCGGGTACCCGTGTGTTATCAATAAAGCCTCTTGCTGTTGCATCCAAGCTCGTGGTCTCGCTGTTCCTTGGGTTTGGGTCTCCCTTCCGTGAAAGTATCCCTTTTGGGGTCTTTCACTATAACACAAAGAGGAATGTTCTCTATGCCTGGACTCTTGTGGGAGGGCCTGGACCCTGCCCTGAGCTAAATGACAGACTCTGGATATTCCCTATGTGGAAGGAAATAGAGATAGGGTGGGAGACTGGGGAGGATGGTGGGGGAGTGTGGGAGCTGGGATTGACATGTGAAGAAAGCTCTTTTCTAAAAAAAATGTAATAAAAAATAATGAAAAGGAAAATATGAATTAATAAAAAAAAGAAAGACCCTTCCCACTTACATTCTCTTTCTGCTCTCTCCTGATATCTTTCCCCTCAGTTGCCCTGGGGCAGACAGGACTTTTCCTGTCTCCCTCTTCTCTTCTGTCCTCTCTCTATCTTTGTGTCTACCTTTTTTCCCTTTCTTTCCCCCTCCCTCCCCTTTCTAATTAAGCTTCTTACTTAAGCTCTGTCTACCTGGCATGTTTGTCCCTCTGACTAAGTTAACCTAGCCACCCATGAAATTCACCAAGGTTTCTCATGCTATATCATTAACAGAAATTATGTATTATTTTAAGTACAAAACTTATTTTTAATACTCCACATCTGATGCCATTTCACTTTAGTGATCATGTAAGTTCAAAACATGGAAAAAACATGGCATACCTGAAAAGTATCAGGTTTTAAAAGTCTTTGCCATTGAAAGTAGTTGATTGGTTCTCTATAACAAATCAGCTAGTTCAAAATTGAAGCATCATTACACAAGAAATGACATGAAAGTAATTAATGTTTTAGTGAGAATAGATGAAATCTCATGTAGAAATAATGCTGTGAAGCAGACTGGTTACAAAGTTTGCCGATTTGGGGCAAGACTAGTTTTCCATTTCCTTTGTTAAGTATTTTCAAGGTTATTTACAACTTGAGGAAATACCTTGAATACTTGTAATTGTAGTGAGGGGGTGTTTTTTTTCTAAATTTGTTTGTTGAAGGTAATCACCCACTGGAGTATGGTGAACGCTTTTCATGCTCTAGAAACTGAGCTATTTGAAGTACTTAAATTAGTAATGCCTTCCAGAAATGATGAGGACGACCCAAACCCCATCGGATCCCTTGAACCACAAAATACATGCAAAAGATTACAAGAAAAAAGGTTAATGATCAGAGATACATCTCTTTTGTAAAGTGAAATGGAAAAATGCTATTTTGCTCAAATATAATAGAGTAAATAAAGAATTTCCAGCATCAGAATTTAGGAAATCTCACTTGAAAACTTTGTAGAATTAAGATGCAAAAGGTACAATTGTTTTAAATATCCACTCTTTTGATTCTGCCATTTTAGAGTTTCTTTCTTAATTCTTTTCTTCTCCTTGATTGTTGAAAATCAGTGACCAATCTATATCTACCTCTTATTTTTCCTGCAATATGCTGCTCTCAGTGGGTATACTGTAACAAACTGTTACCTAGTAATTGGATATTTTATCTGGAACGAATGCCTATTATACAAGATTGAACGTTCACTAATGTGCATTGTGGACTGTGCAGTGCTATACAACGTAATGGCCACTAATGATTTCGGCTTGTTCTTCTTTGCCAAGATTCTAAAATTAGAAATAATGCTCTCATTATGGTTGGAAAGAAACTCCTGTCAAAGCTTCTGCAGGTTCAATATTCCTCAGAGCTTCCTTCATATTGCATTGTTGGTGTTATTTCACATAAAAGAGAATAAAATTTAAACATTCAACAGTCAGTTTGGCATATGCCCTATTTATGTTAACAAATAAAAACATTTTAAATTGAAATAGGCTTCTATGTTTACAACATTCTTGAGAAGACTGTAACTATGGAACATTTCTCATATATAGTATACTTTATAACAATATCTCAACTGAGTTGTGTTAGCACAGGTCTTTAATTCTAGCACCTGGGAGGTAGAGGAAGGTAAATCCCTGTGAGTTTGAGGCCAGCCTGGTCTCTTCCAGGATAGCCAGTGCTATACAGAGAAACCCTTTCTTGAAAAATAAATCTCAGTTACTTTTACTTCTGTAAACTATTAATGTAATTATACATATATCTTTATAGTTTTTAGTTAAGACAATACACTGACTAGTAATATAGTATCAAAAGTACTAAATAAGTCAAATAAGGTATATGTATAAAAGTAGGCAGTCATGTAGGCAGTCATTATTTGCCAACAACACATATAAGAATACTAACAATTGTTAATATACATATGTATAAACACATTTTTCTTTTTTTTTTACAGATAGCTTTTTATATAGTTCAGGTGTGGATTTGACTCACTAGAGCTTTGTATTTAGTTGAGGGTAGGTTTGACTAACTAGAGTTTTGTATTTATTTGAGGATAGATTTGACTTACTATATAGCTAACTATGACCCAGAACTGATCCTCCTGCCTCTGTCTCATTGTTGCTGAGATTATATGTAT